AGTTTGGGTTCGGCCGAACCCACTTCGCCACTGGCGCAAGCCTCGCGACGAGCTTTCGTGCGCGAGGAGCATGCGTCTTTGTTTTAAGAGCCCTGCCGCGCTCGCCAGCCACCAGCCATCGCCATATGTGTTTTATGTGCTGGATATGCCCGAGCGCTCGAGATGCAGAGATCTGTGGGATCCAAGACTCTGAGGAAGAAAACGCACAGACTCTGCTGAGTAGAACCCAAAGGCACCAACGAGGCCCCTAAACTCCGAGGCTCCAGAGGCTCCTAAAAAGCTGGCCCTAATTAATATTAAGCTCCAGGGACTCCAGAGGCTAACCAGCTCCAGAGGCTCCAGAGGCCCCAGAGGCTCCAAATGCATCAGAGGCTCCAGAGGCTCCAGGGGCTCCAGAGGTTAGAGGCTCCAGATCACGATCAGCTTGAAGATATGATTGGCCGACGCTTCAAGCTCTGAATCGACCAACTCCTGGAGTGAAGGCAATCAAAGAAACCATATGATGGGCATAACGTTGGCATTCATGTCATGTGGGCATGCTGGCATATCATGCGATTGTACAACAAACCAGTACGTGTGAATGTTTCCCACATAGAAATATATGTATGTCTATATTTGCATGCGCGCATGCATGCGTATGAATATGTACATACTGCAAATATGTAGGCATACACATATGGATCTGCAAACATACAAGCTTATGTGCACGCAGTAATTACGCGTGCATATATGAAGTAAGCAAGTGATCGGGTTAAGCCAACATAACAGAAAATGCGATCATGACAAGCCAACAACAACAGCACTTTTCATCCGGATCCCGTTCCGGGATCGGAAGACCCTCTGGGTGCGACGACGCGCTGCTTGGGGCCTGCCAGGAGCTAGTGCGGCTGGGCCCGCTGGCGCCCGAGCAGCGCGCGCGCTGCCGCCTGCCACTCCGGCTCGGCGGCCGCGGCTTCCGGAGCCGGGCGGAGTTTGCGCCGGCGGCTTGGGCAGCTTCCTGGGCGCAGAGCTTCGCGGGCGTCTGGGGGCGCACTGGCTTGGCCGAGCTGGGCGACCTGGCAGCCTCCACCCTGCCCCTCGCCGAGGCTTGCAGGGGGGCGCTCGCCGCGCTACCCTTGCGCGAGGCAGGCTGGGGCGAAGGGCCGCAGCTCGACTGGCGGCAGCTCGCCCACGAAACTCAGGACAAGCTTCAGAGGAGACTCACGCAGAGGCTGGATTCAAAACGCTACGCAGCCCTGCTGAGCTCTCTGGGCGCTGGGCGACGGGCGCTGCTCCGCCCCAGGGGGGGGCCGCGCGCTGGAGCCTGGCAGCCGGCGAACGGCGGGCCCGGCCAGCGATTGGAAAACCAGGACTATTGTGCCACCCCCCGAGCGCTGCTGGGCCAGGACTGCGCGCCCGCTGGCGCCCGCTGCTGCAGCCGCGTGCGCGCGGGCGAACGCGCGTGGCAGCCTTGTGGCCGGCCGCTTTGCCAGGTGGCGCGGCGCGCCTTCCGCTGCGCTTGCGGGGGCGGCACAAAGGCGCGCAGCCGGGATGTCGAGGACGCGTGGTGCCGCATTCACCAGGAGTGGTTTCCGCGCGACCCGACAAGTCCCAGCCCCCGCTTGGGACCGCTTGCGCTGGCGCTGCACCGCGGCCGACTGCGGCGCCGGCGGCCGCGCGGACGCGCCGCCCAGCGGCCCTCGCAGCGCCCGCGGGGGCTTGCTCGAGGCCGAGCGCGAAGAGGCGCTCCTGGACCTCGAAGCCCAGCGCGGCGACTGCCCCTGGATGCTGGCGGACATCGCCGCCCGCCTGTGTCCCGGGGGGCGCGCGCCGTCGCCGCCAAGCGACGGCGCGGTTGCCGCAGGGGGGAAAGCGGACGAGCGCCGCCGCTACCCCGAGCGCCAGGCCCCTTGGCCGGTGCCGCCGCTGGCGCACGAAACGGCTGGCCGGCTGGGCAGGGCGGCGCTGCGCCACCTGCGCTGGCTGGCGCGGGACCGCGCGCAGGGCCTGGGCGGTGGCCCAGAGGCTGAGGCTGCCGCGAGCGCGCTGACGCGCCGCTGGGGCGCCGAGCTCAGCTGCGCACTGCACCGCGCCACGGCGCGTCAGTTGCGCAGCTCTCTCGGCCAGGAGCGAGAGTTCGCGGCCCGCGCCGCGCTGGCGGCCGAGCAGGCCGGCTAGCAGGCTGGGCGGCGCAGCCGGGGCGCTGGGCCAGGAGGAGGAGGAGCTGCTCTACTTCATCGTCGTGCTCGGCGTCGAGTTCCATGGGGGTAGAGCCTTGTGGCGGACAGACAGACTTTCTTATTGTTGCAGGAGGGGGAGGAGGAGCAGGAGGAGGAGGAGGAGGACGAGGAGGAGGAGGAGGAGATAAGTATTGATACCGCTGCAATTCTTGCGTCACCGCGGCTGGGTTCGCTTTGGAATCCTTGTCAGAACGCGCCCTAGGAGAGGTCCAGGAAGTCGCGGTATTGGTACCTGTCTGTTCCCGGAGAGAGGAAGGGGAAGGAGGGCGAGATTGAGGAGGAGGAGGGGCAGGGAGTTATCTTGAGGAGGGAGGGAGGCATGGAGGAGCCGCGCGGAGGTCGCTGCGGGAGCGGCTCCACGCCAGGGCGTGGGCCCGCGGAGACGCCGAAACCGCGCCTGGGGCGCAGCCGGCGGGCAGCGCGGAGGCGTGAACCGCAGCCTCGGTCTTCTTTGCTGTGCCCGCTCCCGTCCTCGTCGTCGACCTCGACGTCGTCGTCTTCGTCGTCCTCGTCGTCGTCGTCGTCGTGATCATCGGCGTCGTCGTAGTCGTCATCGTCGTCGTCGTCGTCGTCGTCCGACCCTGCCCACGACGCAGGTTTTTTCGACGGCTTTCGGCCTTCAGGAGCCTCCGCTGGGCCCTAGGACGGTGAAACACGACCTGGCATGACAAGCTGTTCCCGGAAAAGCTTGGTCCAGCGAGCCCCAGGTTGTTGCACATGTTTCGAACTCGTCCAAACTCGCCCATGAAGGTAGAGTCCTGGTCCTGCTCGACTACCTGCGGTGGTCCAACCCACGTAAGCCATCCGAGTTCGAAGGCCGTCTTCGCCAGCTCGGCCGTCGGTCTCGGTCCAGGGCACGCGTATACTGCGACTGCAAAGTCCGATGCACATATCCAAAATAACGAGCACTGTGTGCATGTTGTTGTCGATATGTGGTTTGATCATGACATCCATGATGATGGCTTCATTGAGCTCCTTGACCGTCGGTTGCGCTGCAGTTGGTTGCGCTGCCTTGCGAGTTGTTGTTTTGTTTTCTTATTTTTCCACATGTAGTGCTTCTGAATAGGCGCGCTTCTTGAACAGATCGTCGGCTCGCTCCTCCATGCTGTGAGTGCCGCTCGTGTATCTTCAGCATTGCAGCGCGCAGTCGTGGTGGTACCGCTGCCCAGTCCGCCTTCTCGATGTTCTCGCCATCTTGAGGCAATTCGCAACGGCGGCGCAGATAAGACGCCTAGGGCGTGTTTGTGCTGCCCTTCATGTTGCGAGGGCTTCTTGAATGTGCATTCGTGCAGGCACCTTGGGCACCTTCTTTCGGGTTGTGTCATCCACATGTTTTGTCCGTGCAAAAACAATGCTGGAGATCGCCCTTGCGCTTCCGTGTCTAGGGCCTCGGCTTCTACCTGGTTGGCTTCGATCTCCTCGAAATTGTTGGCGTGCCTAGTGTACCCGCCGCGTTGTTTCTCGAGGTACTTCTGTTCTTCGATGCCGTCCACGATCGTTTTGGTTAGCTCGGCGGTCCAGCTGCCGAGACTTGAAGCCATTCCCTTTGGCCTGTCGAGCACGCTCGCGTGGGTTCTGTTATTGCCGTCGCACTTCGCCCCGTTGAGTTTTTCGCCCGGCAGGATGGCCGTCGTAGGGAAGTGCGTCGGCTTCTTCACTGGATCGCGCACGAAGTCCGCCAGATTGCTGCTTCGGCGCACTGGTGCATCATCGCCTTGACAAGCTCTGCTCCAAGTCGTGGCTTGAGCTCCCACGCGTTGGAGGTCGGGGTGCTCTCCAGCAACATATGTTTGCTTCTCGACGAGTTGTAGGCGCTTCATCCCCACTGCCAACTTCTTCGTTCTTCCCCATGGGGTATGTTCGCGCGCGGGTGACATGGGAAGCCAACGGCTACCATGTAAGGGTCCTCTTCGTTGAGCTGTTTCAGAACATCGTTCTGCTTCTCGGTGTCCAGCGGGTCGTCCCCGATCATGATGCCTTTTGTCATGGGAAACGGGTGTCTTCTCGTCTGAGTTTCCGAGGTTGTAGCCAAGCCGCTTGTTTCGAGCTCGCACATGATCGGCCTTTTCTCCTCCATGTCCGCCCTCAGGGTGTCCGCGATTTGCTGACAGTGATTCTGCTTGTCCTGTATCTCCTTTCCCAAATCTGAAAGAGCGCTTTCTGTGGTCCCTGGGAGGGGGGTGGGGGGGTTGGAACCGGACCCTCCCCCGCACCCACGCTACCTGAAGCGGAGGCCACACTATTCAGGGAGGTGGCCCAAGTCGGCGGAGGGAAGGCGGCCTCTCTTCTTGGCGGTGCGGGGTTCGACTCCCTCGCATCACAGGCCTCTCCCGCAGGAGTGGCACATGACTGCCCTCCTGGGTCCGCGTGGCTGGTCGGCGCAGCGGGTTCCGCAGCATCAGGGCCTGCGTCGCTCCAGAGGCCGCTGTCGCAGCACCAGCACCACTGGAGCGACACGCCGCCTCAAGGAAGGCGGCCGCGAGTGGGCCAGGCGACAGGCCTTTGTCCCGTTCCGTCGCACTAGTTTGCCTAAGTGGCACAGATCCCAGCTTCCTCCCTCCTGCCTCCTTTCTCCTTCCTCCTCCTCCCGCTCCTCCCTCCTCCCTCTGCCTCCCTCCTCCCCCCTCCGTCCTCCTTCCTCCTTCCTCCTCCCTCCTCCCTTCTCTCTTTCCTCCTTCCTCCGTCTTCCTCCTCAGCCATCTTCTCCTTCCTTTCCTCCTCCTCCTCCTCCTTCCCCTCGATCCCCGCCCTTGCGCCGCCGAGAGGCCTCGCCGTGGGCCCGCGGCTGGCGCGCAGCCGTGCTCCAAGTGCTCCCCAGCGGCGCCGACGGCGCCGCGCCGCCGTCGGACCCGGAGGCCCCGCCGCCGGCGCGGCGCGGTCGGACGCCCCTCCGACCCATACGGGGGCCTCGGAGGATCGCGCCGCATCACCGATGCACCGGCCGTGCGGCTCGATGTGGAGTCCGATCCGTTCCACGCCGACGTCGCCGGTGCATCGCCGACGTCGCTGGTGTGTTGCCGATGCAGGGCTCCAATCGAGATTTTTCGCGGTGCTCAGTTTTTCGGGCAGCTCCAGATCTCAGGGCCAGATGTCAGGATCGGCAATTTTTCCGGAGTCCAGTTCGATCCGATCGATACATGTCGGTGTTGGCCTGCCCGATCCGATTTGACTCCGATTCTCTGACGATCTGATGTGGCCCGGTGCTTGCGTGGCGCTGTGGTGCATCCGGCAGAAGCCGATCTGATTCGATTCGGTTTCCGTGCCGATGCAGGTCGATGTCACGAAGATTTGGATTCGATTTGATTTCCCGTTTTGTCTTGTCCTCCGACCCATCTATCAAACGTACGGAAAATCTCAAGGCATTGGTCGGTTTCTCCCTTCATTTCCGACGTCACGTCCCGACGCTAACCCAACCACCAACCCAGCCCTTGCCCAACCCCAACCCTGCCCCTAATCCAAGCCTTCCTCCCCTCGCCTCTGCCCCCCCCCTATCTCTCCTCAGGAGGAGGAGGAGGAGGAGGAGGAGGAGGACATCCCTCGGACGTCCTCCGGGACGCCTCTCCGGAGTGCCGTCCGCCGTCCCCACAGTGGCGCTGGGCCGGTGGGGGGCTTCGAGGGGCGGCTGGCGCGCGCCACGGGCCAGACCTGCGCCGACGGGGCCCCCTTGCGCGCCACGAAGGCCAAACACGCAGTCCACCCTCCTGGGAGGACCCTCCTCCTCCTCCTCCTCCTCCTCCTCCTCCTCCTCCTCCTCCTCCTCCTCCTCCTCCTCCTCCTCCTCCAGACCACCCCGACCCGAGCTGGCTACCTTGCCAGAATTAATGTTTCGTTGTGGCCCAAGGCCCTCACGGAGGCCCAGCGGGCCAAGAGAGTCCAGATAGGGCTTTCCATTTAGGGGCATCTGAGGTTGGACATCGTCCAGGGACTCTTACTCTTACTCTTACTCTTACTCCTCCTCCTCCTCCTCCTCCTTCTCCCCATCCTCATCCTCATCCTCATCCTCATCCTCATCCTCATCTTCATTCTCCTCCCCCTCCTCCTCCTCTTCCTACCCTCCTGGGAGGACGCCCCTCTCCTGCGACGGGCGGCAATCTCTGTACACGTCCGGTTGCCCCATGGCTGGGCCCCTTCCTGGGCCCAGGAGCTGGGCATGCGCCCTCCTGGCCAGGATGGGAGGGCGTAGACCGTATGCACCGTTGCTGGGTGCAGGATGGGCTTAGCCAGGAATCAGATTTGATGGACCTCCTGCGCCCGACTCGTTACGTTTCCTCCGACTTCGATTCGATCCGATTTCGATGGATTCCGCTTCCGATTCTGTTCGATTTCGGATTCCGGTTTGGGATCCGATTTCCTAATGGAAGCCTAGTGGCCAGCCGATGTATGCCGATTCGATTTTTCCCGACTCGGCTGCCGATTCTCGTCGATCCGATTCATGTCGATCGCCGATCCGACATGTCGATTCGATCTTGGGCGCCCCCGCCCCCCCAGGGGCCTCCTCCCTTCGCCCCTCCTTGGGCGCCGCGAAAGGTGCGGCGGCTCAGCGCGGCGCTCTGGCGCGACGTGGCGGGGTGGGCCAGCCGGGAGCACGGCGCTCAGCCCGGCGCCAGCGGGGCGGCGCGGGGAGGGGGGAGGGGTGGGCCTATTACCATGTGAGCCGTCTGGGGGTCTGAGGCGGCCCAGGTGGCCCAGCACTGGTTCCTGCCAGCAGGAAGGGCGGGCAAGTTCTAGGTTCTTGGCTCGGGAGATTGTGTTGCCTTTGTCGGTCCCTGGGGGCCGGGCTCGGGCTCGGGGGCCGTCAAAAACGGATCCGGGGCGGAAACATGCGCAAGATGGGCCCCAGGAGGGGTCCGGGTCCTGACCGATATTCTAGGGTCCCAACCAGTTCAGACCCACGGGCCGCCTCCAACTATCGATGCGTGAGCGCCGCGTGGGAGGGGATGCGAAGGGGGGCAGCGAGGGCTAACAATGCTCTTTAGGTCCCATCTGGGGACCTTTCGGGCCAGAGAAGTGCACCTTTCTTCTCCCCACCCCTATCGCCCCCCATCATGCGACGCCCAAGATGCTCGTTTGGTGGACCTTCCTGGGGCCAACCTTCGGGGAGGTGAGCGTGGCCATGCAGGTATTTTCGCAGGTTGCCGCCACTCGCAGTCTATAGGACATTTGTCGGGGGAGGTTCGGGAGCCTGCGGTTTTCGCCAGCAGATGTGCATGTGTTTCGGGCGATGGCCCACATACCTCGGTGTACACTCGTGCGGCTTCCACACCTAACAGATATGTTCGACTCCTTCTCCTCATCCGCTGCCATTGTGGCTCAATTTGGGGAGAGGCCGCATTTGAGTGCGGCAGCTCCTCTTGAAGGAGCGCTCCTGAGGTCAGACTCAGGCGGTCTTCTTTCCTCCCTCGTCGTTCCCTGCCACTGCTCCCACTAATAAGACCAAAGGTGGGGCTGTGGACCTCACCGACGCAGCCTCTTTCCAGGAGCTTGGTGCAGCATTGGCGAAGCAGTTGGCTGAGCAGCAAGCCTCTCTGCTCGAACGTCTGAGTTCGCACAACAAATCCATCACCTTCATGGTCAATGAAGTTCGAGGGCAGATTGGCCAGGACAAGACTGCCCACGAGGAACTTGCCAAAGCTGGGTGTCTAGCGTTTGGGTGCCAGGAAATATCGTGATATTAATGCTCGGGACCCCCGATACAAGCAGCAGCATGTTCGTTCTGATGTTGCAGAGGACCCTGCGACAATGTGGGTGGGAACTTGGCCTGGAGTTGTGCTCTCGGCTTCCCGTCAGGCTTTCCAAGACTCTGCCGAAGGTAAGTACGAGGTGCTGCTGAAGGAGACGACGGTCAACCTGCCTCTTGATGTCAAAGCGTACAAGCTGCAGTTCCCGAGCGAGGCCCAGGCCTTTCAGTTCCAGGCTGCGTTCAACAGCAATGCGCACAAGTGGCCAGATTCCTGACGCAACACGGCGACAAACACCTGGTGCCGTGGCGATCGGCCTCTCCCTGCCAGGTTGAGGTCCAAGTCTTTCGCGAAGATCTACCCAGGTGCCGATGTCGAGCTACAGAATTCCCTGCTGTGGACGGCAAAGCACCAGTTTGGTGCCAATGGAGGCATGGGTGTTCTCTATGTATTCGGCGATACCGACATCGACGAACTGGTCCTGTGCGAGCATAGTGGATTGGATGATGAACGTTTCCTGCCCCATAAAAAGGCGCTGGAGGTCTTGGGCATCTCCGCCCAGAAGATTGGTGAGAACATTTGGCATGCCAGTCTATGGCTAGGCGTGGATCGTTTCAGTGTCTCTCTCCCTGTTATTCCTGGCTTTGACCTGCCTCCACCTGCCGTGTCTGCCCGACCAGGGATCCAGCCCAACGCTTCGCGTGGCAGATCGTCTTCTCCTTCGACCTCCTTTGCTCGTCGGCCACCCGCTCCGCGTCTTCAGCAGCTCGTGCGGTTCCTCTGGTTGGCCTGCCCTGTCTGTGCCGCCGCCAGAGTTTACTCTGTTGCCGCTTGCTCCCTCTCCGCCTCTCCCGTTTGGCCAGGACCTGTGTAGTTACCCTTTCTTCCCACCCCTTCCTACGAAATTGCCATCGTGATTCGCGAGCGTGCTGCTCCACTTTCTGGCCGCTTTGTCCCGACTGAGCTGGTCGAGGGGAGGTGTCTCTCAGCGGATTTGCGTGGGGAATACGAGCGTCTTCATTTTGTATGCATTCACCTTGACCCCTGTCTTCGCATCGTTTTTCGTCGTCGTGCTCAGCATCGGCGCATTCGTCACTCTTTGCCTTCCAAACTCGCCTGCGCAGCGCTCTGGGGAGGGGTCTGAAACTCCCGCGAAAAAGGCGAAGCTCGGCTACGCCTCGACACTGAGTGCAGCGCCTCATTCTCCTCGGCCTCCCTGGCGACATTAGTCTGGGCCCAGTTCGAGCATTTCTGCGAGGGGGGCCAGCCTGACTTCACTCGCAAGGTTGTTCAACATTCTTCCCTTCTCTCTCTTGCCGGGCTTGATGGGGCATATGCAGTGGTTCACCTGCGTATGATTTGCTTGACCTAACCCCCATGTCTGGAGTATGCTGGCCTGTCGCGCACGCGGATGCCCCGTCGGGCCACGCTGGCGTTTCCCCCCCTGGACCCGCGCCGGGAACAACGGAAGTGTATTCCGCGGCGGGTTGCCAGACCTACGCTGTCCAAGAGGTGCTTGCTGGAACTGCTCGGGGAAGTTGCGATCACTCCCGGGCCTTTCCAGCGCGCGCAAGATGTCAAGGCTCCTACTGCATGAGGCAAGCTCTAGAGTGATGAAGGAGTGTCAAACGCTGGGCTACGCGGCCGTCGCTGACAAATTTGCGTGGACGGTGGCCTTTGCTGGGGCCCATCGGGCTGGGCGTCGAGCGATTACCTCCAGAGCTTGCCGTGCTTTTTCTGAACTTGCAAGCATTGGCGGCTCCGCCAACATGTATTCGAATGGTTATCCGGGGTTGATTGATGCCATGATGGTATGAGGAGGAGGGGGATGAGGTCAACAGAGACGCCAGGATGCACCCCCAGACCAAAGAGAACCGGCTTCATCGGCTTGCTGAGTTATCTCGTGCTGGGGCTCCTGCCCATAGTATCGTGGACTCAGGTGGGGCGGTGTCTCATGGACTTGATGCGCGCGCTGCTGCACTTGCCGAGTATTGGGGCGACAGCGCCGAGCCATTCCAGTTCGAGGAGGGCGCGGGCCCCGACGGTCTACCTGAACTCCTACTCGTCTTTGCTGGAGGGCATGGGTCGGGAGATCCAGCGCGCGCCATCTGACGCCAGATTGTTTCTATCGCGAGACGCAACCCACCGGATGTTACATATTCGGAAAGACTCAGCTCTTGGAATGGGTTGGACCCCTTGCAGCGCCTGGGCGTAGGGGGGGGCAGTTTTAGGATGCTTTCTACGGGTTGCATCATATTATTTGTAATGGTGGCGCGCTCTCGCAGGAATTTAGCATGTCCCTGGGCACCTATTCACGGAAGGCCGATCCCGACCCGAGCAGTTTCCTCCGGCAGCAGACCGTTGATAAGGTCAGGCTGTTCCCTCTGGAACACGGACATCCAAATCCACGTCGCTATTTTTGCCAGGCCTCTTGGGTCTCTGGGCCAAAGTTCAATTCATCAGATGTCAACATGGTTGTGTCCGTGTGCGGAAACTCGTCAGGAAGGCGATCTCCATAGGCTCCACTCTGACGTTGTGGTCCGAAGTTGCTGGGTTTCGCGAAGCTGTTGGGGCGCTATTTGATTTTCGTCCCAGTTTCCCATCATGCCCACGGGAGGATGTGGCGTGTTTTGAAGAAGGTGCAGATCCCGTCCAGTTTCCTGCGTGCCCTTCAGGCCGTTTATCAGGAGGTTGTTATCGTAGTTCTCCCCTGGGCCTGTGTCAAACAAGGGTTCCCGCTTTCTGGTGTTTTGTACGCCTTGGTCCTGGACCCTCTGGGTTTTCTTCATGGACTGTTTCCTGGATCCCAACATGTGCATCGGTTTGCACTGATGCTATGGGCTGGGTTACTCGCGATATTTGTTTGGTACTTGCCATTATTTGTTCGGCATGTTGTGCTGGCGGAAGCGTTCGCTGGTCTCCTGCTGCGCCCTGACATGACAGTGATTATCTTCCTGAGGGAAAATTTTGAAGTGGCCGAGGTCAACGCTGCATGTGAGAGATGCGGCTTGAGTGTGAAGCGTTGTGTTCTTGGTATCTCTGGCAAGTACTTGGAGATCACATGTAAGGGGGGAATCCGGACGAGGGAGATCCTGGGGGGCGCCCGGCCATGTTTTCGCCTCGCGCGCACTGAAGATTCGTGGGATGGGGCCTTCTCTTTGGCAAAAACAACCTGTCGTACAACACCTTTGGCTTTCCTATTCTGTCGTTTGTTGCCAAATTTCGCTCTTCGACTCGCGGGATCCTGCAGGCCGAGAATAATGCTGTCCAGCTCCTGACGGCTGGGCCCAGGAATGCCGTGTCCATCCCCGTGCTGTTCCGCGTCTGAATTCGGCCACCAGCTTCCTTCGCTCCTTCGTTCCCTATGCTCATGCTGCCAGTATTGCCCGGCGGTCTGATGTTCGTTATCGCGCCCAGCTCCTTTTTGATGACCTCGACGACGAGGCTGACTTGAGACGGACTTGGGAGTATGGCAACTACTTCGTGAGCTCTATCTCTTACCACCCCCAACGCGGTAGTCGTATTATGCATGTTTTGCCACATATGCCTACTGATAGATGGATGCTGCACTTCCAGGCTACATGTATGAGCGTACACCTCAAGAGCGCGGGCACCGGCTCATCAATGGATTTTCCAGAAGAGACTTGAGAATGGAGTCCTGTTGCGACCCAGGGCGTTCCCCTTGTTGCTGCTCAGGCTTCGCAATGCTGCCCGTCGGCTCCGTGAATATTGCGCCGCTACGTATGTCAAGACGTTGCGCACTGGATGAAACACCTCTGCCAGTTACCGACCAGAGACCCTGCCATGTCGCGTCTGTGGATTGGCGTTGAGTGACCGTCTCTCGCCTTACATGACCTGTTGTTCCGTATATCGAGCTCTGAGCCCCGCCTCCCCCTTCTGACCCTGGCTTGAATAACCTTCTGGGCTGTCCTGCGTTTACCCTTCTCTTTCTTTCTCGGCTCCCCCTCCCCCCCCATCTCTTCGTGTTTTTTTTGTTTTTCTTCTTCTCTTCTCGCGCTCGACGTTCTTCTTGTCAGCTATGAAGTCGCTCCGAATCGATGATGCCGTCTCGGACGCCAGCTTCCCCGCCCACGCCAGAGCGAGGGCCAGGCGGCAGCAGGCAGGTCCAGTGTCGCGCGGCCACTGCTGCAAGGGGCGCGCCCCTTCGGCGCGCCAGGCGCTCCCCCCACCGCCCCCGGCCTCGACGACGACGCTCCCCCTCGGTGAGTGCCGCTCCCCCCTCTCCTCCAGCTCGACTCCAGCTCGACTATTGCCCGACGGACGTCCGACGCACCATCGACGCACGAGTTGAGCGGGTGGTCCCAGAGGGGCCCCAGAACGAGCACTGGCAGCTCCTGGAAGATGGGGAAAAGCGAAGACCTTCACCAGCGTCGCATCTCGACACCCGTAGTCGTTTTCTCTTGAGTCCTCAGGTGCGATCGAAATGTTTATCGGGTGAATCGCGGCGTCGTGTTCGTTTCCGCATCAGTTTGATTTGATTGTCGGTTCTTGCACTTTGCGTGGGTAGTCGCAACAGAAGTGCCAGCATGCTGTGAACACCGCGAACGATGGGTGCTGACAATAAAGGACATCGGGTTGTTGCGACACATTCACCAACAGCGCACCTATTCCCAGCTTGCCCTTTGGCACTTTATTGTGGCACGCGTTCGGCTTCGCTCATCACGGGGGAGCGTTTGTTGGGTCGTGCCTGATGTGTGACGCTCCCGCGTGGGCATGCCGGCCGTCTTGATTTACACCTGAAGTGCTGTTCCCCAATGCGAGACCAGCCGATCCCTCAAAGAAATACATGTGTAGACACATTCGAATCTTTCTTCAATCAAGTTGGAGGAAGAGGAGAGAACCACGAGAGCGCGGAGGAAGAAACGGAGGAGGAGGAGGAGGTAACCGACGATAAAAGAGAGAGTGAGAAGAGGGAGGAAGAGGAGGAAGGAGGAGGAAGGAGGAAGGTGTTGGGGGGATGAGGAGGCGGCATGAAGAACATGGGGGCGGGCGCCGATGCGGGAGGTGTGGGGAAGGAGGAGGAGAATGGAGATGAGGAGGAGGAAGATAACGAGGACGAGGAGGAATAGGATGAGGATAAAGAGGGGGGAGAACAAAGGAGAAGGAATGGGAAACAAGGGTTGTGACAACGAGGGGGGAATCAAAACAAGGGATCACAAGGGGGGTCGGCAATCCTAGATTCTTTCCTGCTGCTACTGGTGCGTCGCTTCCCCACCTGTTCCACACATCATGCTCATCAAATGCAATTGTTGCTACTCTCGGAAATACCCCTCTGAGCTGTCCCTTGCAATTTTGATTGTAGTGGCCTTCGGCCAGTGCCGCCGATCCGGGTCGCTCGGTGTTATTCTCGAGACGCAGACATTATGGACGCACACTCAAACGCACAAACTTCTCGGGTTACCTTCGAAAGGGCGTAGGAATGCAGTTGGGTCAATAGAGACATCTCGCAACAGTTGTTCTATCAACGGCGGGGTGCTTGCAGTGACCGTGGGGACGGGAAATAATAATGACATGAAAATTCCATACAGGATGCGGATCACTTTGGAAACTCACGATACGTCGTGCACGGAGTCGTGTTACGAAACATGTGGCCTGGGCGATGTGGTGCGAGCGGTGGAGGCGAGCCTATCGGCGCAAGGACGCCCTCTTGGGGCGT